TAAAATGTAATTTATAAGGATGTGGTGTGAATTTTAGGTAAGGAACAACAAAGGTACATACGTTTATTAATTTATTTAAGAATTCAAAGCCTCTACAAGTGCAATTGTATGAAATAACGCAATATTGTATATAAAATCTCATACACATTCTTTTGTTAAATATTCGCATTTCGTCGTATCTATAGAAACGACTTTTTCATACACACTCCCTAAATCTGAATCTTTCATATCTCTTACAATTTTCTTTACAATATCAGGTCTACAATACTAGATTTGCGATACATATTACTACCTTTTTCTGAAATATAATCTACAAATTTCTGCACAACAGTAGGCATCAAATCCGACAAATCACTTAATACACATAAATTACAATCAGTACATTTGACAATAAATTTGCTTAAATGATCAAAGGTCACCTTTTTTAGAACTAAAGTACGACGGTATTGCTTTGCGACACTACCACTTACACCTTATTTTCGTCCTTCTTCAAGCTCAATAGCCTTGTCGTTAAAACTTACAGTAAACTTTATGGACCAGTTGGAGCCATAAATTGTGATGTCCTGCAAGTTGCTGTCGTCCGTGGTAAAGTACTTCTCAATGTCTGTAAGCGCTAATTTGAATTCATTCCAATCCGAAATTTTGAAAGGCATCCCTACAAAATCTGTGCTTAATAGACAAACTACAGGTTCCCAATCGTTGTCAAGTAATTTTTTATATTCCAGACCAACTACGACTTTTTTGCCAAATGATTTATTCAACCCATAAATCTTGTAAAAAATCTGCGGAGGTGACTGTTAATAATGCTTTACGCTTGAGAGATCGATTGCTACCGACGCCCCAACCCTCTTTTTCTGGAACTCCATTTTTCTGTTTGATTGTATTGACGATATGACGAGCAGGCAGAGACAAACGACTAATCCGATTTTTTTTATACTAGTTGTAGCTCGAAAGAGATAGTGTGAAAAACGTTTGGAGGTGGTAAGTCACGTTTCAGCATAAAAAATTGGGTCGATAGCACATTCAGGATAACGTGAATTAAAACAAGAATGATCGTGAATCGTGCGCGGATAAAAAACGCTGCGTATGAAATTTTTTACAAACTATAAACATTCATAGGTAGGATCGCAAAACGCTGACATCGTTTATTTTTGGAATTCATTATAATTTAACATTTATAGTATCTGTCACTAGATGTTCAAGAATGCGCAGACTAGCAAATTACAAGTATATTTATGGATACACTTATATTAAAGACATTTTACTGCAACTTTTTTGTAAAAATTTTACCAGACAACCGCTGCCACCCGACACCGAGCTTCTCAAATTTTTTTTGCTACACCTCAATAAAATAAAACGTCTGGCAATTTCGTCATTCTTTTTCAAATTAGCGGAAAAATTGTCGAAAAATTTTTTAAAACCCAAACCGTTGCTCATGTAAAACAAAAACATCAAGCAAAACTGATCACATACGTTTGAAGATATGCTTTGTAACTGTTTGACATTCCAACGCAGTTTCTTACAATTTTTACGAAATCGATTAATGTGCTGCGGTACACAAGGTTGAATACCATAGCTATCGAAATATAAGCCATTGGAATGTGCATCAACGTATATAGCAACCCAATGCATACCTGGTTTAGTGTGATCATCAGTGTTAATGACGAGTGCTGTCGGTTTTGTCCACACCCGTGGGATCTGATCGGCTGGGAATACACCGGTGGTATGCGTTGTGATTTGCGACAGGATCTACAGTATCTGTAGGCTGTCTATTACGTTCGCAGACCCAAGATTTCAGTTTATGAGCGTTATTTATGGCACACCGATATTTTTCATGATTTGGTTTTAATGCGTGATGCATATAATACACTACCGATGACAACTGTTTTAAAGGTGGACAGTCAATATTGTGTTCTAAATTTATTGCTTGACAAAGAGCTATTTAATGTAAATCGTACCACTTTTCGCAACCTCTGGTGTAAATTTTTCTTGCACTTCTTCCTGTTTCAATCAAAATTGAAAAAATTGCTTTTAAAGGTACTTCACCCTCAAAGAAATCTAGTCCATGATGATGTAGGGACAACCAAATATTTTGTTGTTGCACCTCTTTACTCAATTTTTGCAAGCGAAAAGGAGGTGTCACTACCCAATGTGTGGAAAAGTCATTGTTCAAAGCAACGGTAGTAACTTCTTTCGGCACCATTACGTCTTTTTTCACCTTGAAATACTGAATGTCGACTACGAGCTCCATTGCGATTTATGGATGATTGAGCGTACCAGCAGCAACTAAACCGAGAGATGATTGGTGTGTCCAAGTAGTAAGTGTAACTACATGTAGTTAGTGGCGCCATCTAACCGCTAAAGTCGACCATGATTTGACGTGACGCACCGATTTCGAGAATATTCTCGTACTCGGCATGCACTATACAATTAACAGTTGAAGTTAAAGCGTCGGCAAATCGAACGTCCAATTTAACGCTGCCGTGTTTCATTAGGTTCCAATGAGAACATTCGTTGGCCAATGAATCCGGTATTAAATCGAAAGCAAAGAGACAGTAACCGTTGGGATAAGATTCGCGATCAATGTGATTTCCTTCATAGAGAAAGAGAACGCTCGTGCCCAAAAACAAGATATGATAAGTATCTACATATAAATTATTCGTTTTAAAGTCTGGCTGTAATGGTTGGGAAGGAACTTGAACACTGTCAATGTACAAACAAAGAAAATTGATATTAAAATGATGAAAATTAAACGGATTCATAGTGCGATCGCTATTATAAGCTTGATTTTTAATGAAACCGACGATTATCCGCTTAGGTAACTGGCCCAAAATAATATTATCTAAAGTTTCGCCATGAATACCACTATGCATCGTCACAGCTTTCACTTCGACACGCGTGAGCGGATATTTTGCTGTACACTTTGACAGAACCTTGGTATGGGCTAATAAAACAGATGGGCTTATTTTAACGCGTCTCACTAAAAGATATGCTTCTTTGATACGAACGGAAACCTAGTTTGAAGTGTCTATGAGACAAAATGCATCGCACGGTCTTACTAATCGCATTCTCACCTCGACGCCATTGATGAGTAATTTTTTCTGGTTGCATACATTGCAATGAAGATGACCAATCGGATCAATCGATTTCTTTGCTGGTAATAGTGTAAGTCACTTGACGAGTCCCGCGTTGGCATCCAACACATCGTTCATCTTTATCGCCGTATCGTTGCACCATAATGCACTCGTTAAGTGAGATGATTTTGCTGCAGGACTGTAATTCCTGTACCTGATCTGTACCTGTAATTCCTGTACCTAGTCCTGACTTGTAATTCAATAAAGTTTTTAAATACGTTCTGTAAGCGTACACGTTGTTACGAGGCGATAAAGGTTTCTAATTGAAAAACACATCGACTTGATTGAACAACGAATGCATAAAATTATTGATTGGTCCCGTCTTAAAGATTTAAGATGTTACATCAGCATTAATTCTTCATCTTCATTGACGGCCAACTTGACACGAACACTGAGCATCGTGTGTGCAAGATCGATGTATACGTCAATATTACCTGGTACGACAAATTCGATCGGTGAATCATCCGTGAGCGATGATATCGGCTTGTATTGAATCTAGTGCGATCCCTCGATAGTTGTTTTAGTCAGTGGAGTATCAAACAAAAGAAACTCAGACCTTAAGTACTCGCACAAGTGACTGTGTAAAAAAGACATTTTTAAAAAATTTAAATTTTAAAGATATCTCTTGCAGTTCTCTGTCCCTTCTTCTTTTTCCTTTTTATTGTTCTCTTTTTCTTATTTTTATCTTGCTTACGCGTTTTCTTAGTTTTTTCTTTTTACTCTTACGCCAATCACGCCTTGACTGCACAGTTCTACGAAGCAATTGTAACTGAAATGATTCGTCGAGTCGTCCAAGTTTATATCCCGAACCATCCATAAGCTTGTCTAATTTTTCCTCGGCTTTTCTCTTTAGCGCATTACCAGACTCCATCACACGAGTGCGGGATGTCTCTTTGAAAGGTATATTTTTAGAGGTGACATCAGACACAATGTTCATACCTGCACGTGCAGCTTCTTTGCCAATAGCTTTGGCACCTCGTTTAATGAGTGGTAAAACTCGTCGAAATACTCCAGCAAGAAACGATCCGATACGTCCAAGTCCTCGTTGATAGGGGGACCCAATATAAATGCGCCCAACACCTCCTCTACTGCTTCCATAAATTGTGGTCAGACTTCCACCACCACTTAGTGCAATAAAGTAGTCCTCGTAGGGATCCATAATTTTTAATCGATTCGTTCAAAGTGAAGCGTCAAAAAGTTAAACAATTATGGTATATACATAGGCGGTGAGAAAATGTTATTTTTGACACAACCGTAAGCGTAATCTTGAAGGTCCAACGACACCGCCCGCAACAAACGCGATTGAACGTCTCCTACAATGCATGGTTAACAGATGTCACTGTAAATCATAAGCATTGACGGTAAAGCATTGGAAAGATTTGCTGGATGAACGGATCGAATTTTATTATTTTCCAAGAAAAGACTCGTTGCACTTTCAAAGCCCAAGATCTTACGTAATTTTTCGGACAATAGTAAGCGATACATATATTCACTGCGCACTGTTCCGAAACAGACTAACTTAGCCACTACGTAGCCGCCTTTTTCCAAACTGAAAACCACGTGATCTCATGTGGTATCGAAACTATTAATTTCTTGTATCATTTCTTCGATATTTGCATATGGACCGGGTCGTATGTAATTATCTACATGAATCACAGGACGTTCTCTGTGTACATTATTGTGTAGTTGTGGTATGCATTTTACGGTAATTTTTCTTTCGTTATCTTTATCACATGTTGAAACGTCAATGGTAATTGAATCTCCATTATACCAACAGTCCATTGACCTTGCAAACTCATTTGCTGAGGTAATCTTGTCACGTAGTGCACAGTAGTATTATCAGAATAATACTGCATGCTACTGTTGCTAGGCAACACAACGTAAAATTCGTCTTTCATTTTTTATATCTTTTAAATAATTACTCTTCACCCAGAAATTCAATTTTTCAGGATATCCTTTCCAGCTGACGGAATATTCTTTAGAGCGTCCTTTACCTCGACTTTTCAATATCTTGTCAACCTCGAAGAAGCTCTCGTTCAATTCCTTTCGTATTCTGCTTAACTCTTCCTCGTAAAAAAAACCGTCAACGTCTTCGTCAGACAAATCTCTGAGAAAATATACTGGAGGTTGCCGCGTGCGTACGATTCTAAACAACTCTAAAGTCCAACCGCTTTCATAACCTTTGGCAAAGACACTTCTCATCTTACTGATACGAACTAAATCTCCAACGTTGTACGTTGGATTTTTATGAATATGCCTGTCGTAACGTTGCTTTATGTTTTCTCGTGCTCGCCCAACATTGTGCAAAGTCACGTCAGCTGGCGCCATCTTGGTCGACGAATGCTTCGTGCGATTGTATGACTCTATTATACTTGAAAAGAATATCTATGAAGCGTCGATTGTTTGTATGTGTAAAGTATCGCCACATTCTTTCTTTAATAGTTCTTATAAAACGTTCCGCTATTGCAGCCTTCGTCTGTGGGCTACGTGCTACTTTGTATTTAATTTCATTTTCTCATAAAACGGATTGCGTTTCACAACCTATGAATTCTTTACCTTTATCCGTTTGGAGACACATTGGTGTACGATCGTCACTTCTTGATAAAATATGTTGAAATGCTTTGGCGATGTTTTTCGACGTTTCATCCTAATAGGTACCACCCAAGCGTATTTGCTGACAACATCGACGACAACGAGAACATAAGCGTAGCCATCATTGTAAGTTTTTAAGGTTCTCAAGCCTATTAAATCAGCTTCCCGCACGTCTTCAAAGTTACGCACGTTATAGTTTATTCTGGGAAAGCGATTTCTTATAGGTCTATATAAATTATAGGTATGTTAACTCTCTAGCTAACTAATAATAACGTTCGATCGCAAAAATTTATGTTTCACAGCACTTACAAGTTTGTTACCACCAGCGTATGCAGTTGGTAGCGCCGCTTCGTAATAAAATTTTTGCAAAGTCTTAAGCATTATTTTTTTTTTTTTTCTTTTTTTTAGACTTGGGTCCAATGGCTCCCTTGATGCGCGAAAAAAACTTCTCGTATGTAATCTTGCTACACATGCAGCATGCTGTCAATAAAGCGACTGTTCGCTCATCCGGTGGTGTTTCTCCGGCAATCAAACGCGAAAAAGCAAATTCAGCCAACGCCCGATCGGCTTTTAGACGTTGACCCTTCTTCTCCGTAGCGTAGGCAAGATCGTGCTGACGACTTGGTTCGTCCAAGGGATTTATACCCACATCACCGCGCTCAATGCGCTTCGATAGCTTCGTTTTTAGGACCGCAAAATTTGAATCCGGGTACATGCATCTCAAACGGTAGCAAGTCTATTAAAGCGTCGAGAGCACTATTTTTTCCTCCTCCTCGAGTTTTACTTCTGTTTCTTAGGCTTGGTCACTTTTCCGCTGAAACGACGCCATATTTGTACTTGATTCAACGAAAGCACAACTTTTTCAAATTTTTTTCTATTTTCCGGTAACGTCATTGATTCAGTACCACTTTTATCAAGAAAACTTCCACTATTTGACAAAGATCTCGGACTCTTATTTGGCGATTTTGATTTATCGTCGTCATCGTCGTCATCGCCGTCATCGTCGTCGTCGTCAGTAATTTTAAAACTTGAGCGTTTCTGATACACTCTTGCGGAATATTTGCCATACGAATTGCCATAGCAAACTAATCACGGCCCACCGGTGTGCGTTTTTTCCTGTTCCTCAAGGCATCGTTCACCAAATCGACAATGTTCGACTGTGGTATGCGAACGCCACCTATTATGACGGGATGTTCATTGCTCCACTGAAAGTTACCAGTAGCGCGCAATCGTCGTATGATAAGTGCAGCCTTTTGACGAAACTTTTTCAGTACGCTTTCGATAACCTCGGTATTCTGCCTTTCTTCCTCTTTACGCTTCTCTTCGTCCTCGTCGACGTCGTTGTCAGAGGGGCCGTTATCTTGTGATACCTTGGTGTTCTCTGTAATTGTGCCAGCATGTCGTTTTCTTTCACTGTCCAATTCCCTAAGGTGCAAATATCGTTGTAAAATTTGTTGGTATTTCTTCCATTTTTCTCGCTCATCGGTATACGGTAAATTTAATATGTCGTTCATTTCTGAGTCGAGCCAACTTATTGTTGTGCCCGGCGGTTGCACAGACTTCAGATCATTGTTGAGGAATGCGCTTCGCAATCGATCCACGCTTTCTTGAGGCAAAAGAATCATTCTTCTTGCGTGCTCCATGTTTAATAAAAACATCGACAACACCGTTCCGAGGAGCAGACCCAATAAAACAGGTAAGAAACTCTATCCCTCTTGTACGATGATTTTTTCTTTGACGACGGATGAATTTTTGCGTTCGCGAGCTTTCTGAGAACACTGGCGTGTCTACGTAAGCGTTTTTTGTGTGCTGCAGTTAGCGAAACGTTTCCTTCGAGAATGTTCAACGCGCACTCGCAAAAATACTTGATTAGCGTCGTGTCGGAATTGCGCAAAAGGGCCCTCTGTGGTTCGGTGTCAAGATGATAAAGAGCTCTTAAAATGGCAACATGTTTTTGACCAAACGGGGAACATGACTTTGACACCATTACAACGATACGATTGGAACTTGATTCGCCGTGTCGCTTCCTTTCATCTGTTTTTTAGCCACGTATACGTACAGATACTGGTCATCTGGGAAAATACAAGTTCGAAATCGACAATTGTTTGGTGTATTTTGCTTGAGATCCAAGAAAAGGTAACCAAATGATCGGGAAGTAGCATCCCAATACGCTTCTTGCAAGAACGGAGAATTTTCCGGACACACTTGTCTCAAAAAATGTTGTATTTGAGCACGATCTCGTAAATTTCTGAAGATGACAATGTATTGCGAGTTTAGCGATGTATTGCGTTGACCCTTACCTTGATAAAATATATTTTGCGTAATAAAAATTACGCTCAAATTGTTATGATGACTACCTTTAGTAAATAAGTCGACAATACTGCTACTACCGGATGATTCGCGCATCAAATCGTCAATAATGACCAGTTTTGATCTATGATCGTCCGCCTAATCGCTATTTTGTGGTAATCTCTCGTGAAACTCAATATTACTCCCGAGATCGCAGTAACCAGGCTGCCACTCACCGTAACAAAAAATAACCCGCTCGAATCGACTATCACTCATACGGTCAATGTGTCGTAAAACCCGTCTAACAAAAATGGTTTTGCCGCAACCTGTGGGTTCACTCAGTGTACACGTCCACGGGTGTTGCCATCGCGTATCCATACTGCCTAACTAAACTCTATCGAAAAGCTGATTGACCGCGGCCGGGGCCTCCGCGGACCACTCGCAAAATCACAAGTGCTGCTGAAAGGCTATCGCAAAGGCGGCTCGCGCGACCAATCAGCTCGTTTTGTCGGAGTCAACCGCCAATCGAGCTCTTTTCTCCGCCGCCACTGCCACACCCCATCCCACCATCGCTCATGGATGGCAACCAATCGGCTTGTAACGTAGCGGCGGTTAGAGCACTTATTGCGCATGATCAAGATTACCTTATTAAAAAGTTTCCTCCTCATACGTGGCAGTTTTGAGGTTGAAGTCACACGAGTAACTGACATCAAGATGATTTTTCTTTTCAAGGTTCAAGATTCGTGGTAAAGAATGTGCTGATGTCACAATTTTCGAAATATGTATCAAGTTTTATTAAACATTCATCACAACGGTTTCAAGAATGCGCTGACACAAGTATAAAGAGATCAAATACATTTTTCGGTACGTAAGGATGATTTTGTTTTCATGGTTTAAGTTTCGTGGTGAAGAATGTGCTGATGTCATCTTTTTCGGAATATGTATCGTATTTCATTTAACATCCGACGGAACACCGACACGAGTATCAGGTAATCAATTACATATTTAACTAGTATAAATTAGTAATGTGTTGGTCCTGAAAAGGACCGATTTTTGCAATTGGATTAACTATCTTTCATGACTATGTATCCATTTTTTTCGGATTCAGAAAAGTATTTTGGGAAACGTATAATTTTTTTTAATTTTTTTTTTTATATGATTTTTCTACAAGCTGTTTTCGACAATCATCATTATCATCGTTCCTAGAGCTCGTCGATGTATCGTTTGCTTTGCTATGTTTCGAACCCATATTGTCCTTTACTTGTTGATACATCAGCTGTGAAAAGGAAAATGAACCAACCAACAGCTTTGTCGTACCTCGACCGAGTGAGTGTTTTCCCTTACTCTGATGTATTATATTCCTTCTTCTGCGACATCACGTTTGTAACCATACGGATAACTCGTGGTCGTGCTGTCAAAATATCTTTTACTATAGACTGGTTGACATGTTTTTATTTCCGGTTGAGTCTCTATATTGTGAATAATTGTGCGACGAATGGAAAAATTCGACAATTTTATTTCCGTAATATTAGTCATAACAAGCTCACAAATCGTATCAAAATTTATCTTTTGACTATTGCTATAATTTAATTTGATACCTTTCACTTTGCAAACATAATATTCACTACCGTCAGGTTTTTTAATCTTATATGCGTGAAATTTTGGTCCGCCAGATAAAAACGAAGAAATGTATGTGCCAACTTCTTTATCGGACAATTCTTCAGTGAGATTGCCTAGTGTCGTGCAAATGGGTAAATCGTCCAGTCCTTCTCGGAAAACATAAAAAATGGAATCTGTGTCGTAATAGAGAGCATGTTCTCCTAGAAAATACAGATACTCGAAAAGCTTTAAGCGTGTTTGTGCTGTCACAAAAGCGGCAACCACAACGTTACTTGACGGTTGTGACGTCAAGGCCTCAGTCTTATAATTTCAGTTAACGTACAATGTATCATCGTTGACGGGTAAAACACCATTTACATAGATTTCTGCACTCGTAAGTAATTCCATTAATTTTTCTGGAACCGTCACCACCTCAGTCTTCGTCAAATTTTCACGTTGACCAAATTTACCCCACAAAGAATTGAGTAATAATTTTTCGACAGATCTCAAGCCAGCATTAAGGTTTATCTCATTTTGTCGAGATTAATTCCTTCAGTTCTACGAATTTCGTAAATATAGAACTTATTTTGCTCATTAGATATACAGGTTGCTGGTTACCCAGAGCTAGTATTTTTTGTTTAAAAAACTTGTTAATATAAAGTGCAAATAATCCTCCTTTGTCCATTTCTTGATTGTACTGTGTTACCTGATATTTATATATTTCATAAGAATTTTTAACGAAATAACCTACGCGAACAGCCACCTCGACTCCTCCGGATACCCACGTACGTCTTAAAATGCAGTTTCTTTCATCGTCGTTGATACAGTGCTCTTGAAGCATATTCTCG